GCTACTCTGGTTATTTGGGATTTTTAATTAGTTTCCGTGTCCTCTCTGCTCAGTGGAAACCTGCAGCTCAGCCGAGGAGTCTTTTAGTAAGTTAGAAGAGTTTTAGTGAAGCAGCCGCTGGTTGCAGCTGAACCGCCGACGTCTCGCTGTCGGGTCCAGAAGTCCGGAATTTATCTTGTTTTGGCACATTTTCAAGTAAGAAATGAAGAAAGCAGTGTTTTGGTGAAATATTACGACACAATTTGTTCAATGAAGCTGAAAGTCGGAGCGTTTTTCTTTCTAAATGGAGTCATTTAATTTTAAAATATCAAACGCACTGATTCCATCCAACATGTTTTAACGTGATGACGTTCTGAGGAAACAGATGTGGAGCAACGGTACCAGTAATGAGTGAAGTGTTTCCTCTTCTTTAGCTCAGTTTGGGTCTCCACCAACGTCCAACAGTTTCAGGTTTAAACCAAATAACTTTACAGAAATATAAAATAAAATGAATAAAAAGTGGTTTCAGACGTTGGGAGAGTGACTCCTGTTCATCCACTGCTAAACTACAATCAGAACTTCAGCAGCTTTAAATGTCAGGTTTGCTTTTTTCTTTATTGTAGGTTGAATATTTTAGAATTTTCTGTGATTGGAAGACGCTGATCTGCTGCTGATTTTCACATTTCATGACATTTCTGCTCTGATTAATTAACGAATAATGAATGTGCAGCTGAATAAATGACTTTTATTTCTCTGATCTGCTCTTTTATCAGCTGTGAGGTCGAGCTGCTCGTTCCTCGTGTCCGGTTCTTATTGTTCACGTTTAAATCCACTCATGTTGATCATACAGACGTCAGAATTGCGTCGCTGCTTCTCCTCCTGGTTAAACGTCGATCTGACTGCATGAGGCTGGAAATGTTGGAACCTCTGGAGCAGAGGAACGAGTTTGTTCAGTCCTGTTGTGTCTGATAGTTTTTCTGATTAATGATGGATCTGCCGTTGGAGCTGCTTCCTAATTGGTTTTCCAGACAGCTGATCATCATCACAGCGTCTCTTCCTGCTGCTCGTGGTTTGTTTTTGGGGTTTTTTTCTGCAGCTTCTCTCGGCCGCTTTGGTTTTGTGTCGTTTTGCATAAAAGCAAAGTTAAAGGAGCTTCTGTGCTGTGATATAAGATTACAGACGCTGTTTTCTGTTGAAGGCAGAATATCTCACAGAGCGCAGACGCTGCAGAGCTTCTGCACAGATTTAAACAAAACAAGTGAAGCTTCTCAGCTGTTTGGATGCAGAACTTTGTGGCTTCAGCAAATGATCGTCTATCATTTAATTTACTGAACAGTGTTTGAGATTTCTCATGCAAGACAGAAAAGAGGCAGAAGCAGGAAAACTGAGATTTTCAGAATAGTTGCTGTTTCCTGTTGAGTCCTGTTTTGGTTGTTGATGGAGAACAGAGCCTTCAGCTGATGTACACTGTAAAATAAATCCTTTAAATTAACCCAACGCTGTGATGGATACACACTAGAAATAATCTCCTAAATACACGATAAACATCCGACAGCAAGACGCCAACAAAGTGAAAAAGTGAAATACTGTGATGTTAAAAATAATAATAATAATATGAAATATTCAAATACAGTAAAAAGAATCAGACTGTAGATTTAAAGACTAATGTAAGAAAAGAACATATTTTTTATAAAAACACACATTTTGATGTCGACAATTGTTTTTTTCTGTCTTTATTTATTTATTAGATTCTTCTGTCTTTAAATCTACAGAATTTTTCTTTCAAATATATGAAAAAAGGACATTTTTGCTGATTTAAATAAAGTAAAAATAGTTTAATTTTACTATGAAATGTAAAAAAAAAAAGTAATGAAAAGACCATTTGTTAAAAGAAATTAGCAGGTTTTATTTTATTTTATTTTTTTTAGGGTTAACTTGTAAATTCATGTATTTGTAATTTTAGTAGATTATCTGTACTGCAAAAAAAATTTAAAATGTAAAAAATCTGTAAAATAAAAGCAAATTGTTGAAATTCCAGTTAAAATCCATTAAATTTATTTTATTTTTTTTTTTACCATTTGTACCATTTGTACCAGTGCAGACGGACGCTGGTCAAACTGGTCCCGTTCACACAGCGTCTGTTTGCAGACGAAGCAAAACGAAGCGTTCTGAACGATTCACTGACTTCATTCCCTCGTTAACCAGCAGCAGCGACTCGTCTTCTCACCAACATACGTGTACAAACACACACGGAAGTGGGTCAGAGCTCAGTCTGCTGCTGGAACATGCACACACACACACACACACACACACACACACACACACACCGTCTCACCGTCTGTACTCAGGACCAGCAGACGTATTTACTCGTGCTGCCGGTGTTTGTTCCTCTCAGAGCTTCACGTCTTCACAGCTGCAGTCTTGTAACCCGAACACTAACCCTAACACTACCACTAACTTTCTCATGCGTGGCTGAGACTCGTTTCCTCCTGAATCCTGGAGCTCAGAACCAGATCTGGACACGAAGTCCCTGAAATACATGAAATCTGTTTAACTGTCATGACGACGTTTGTTCTGCTGAGATTCAGTTTCAGATGAACATCAGAGATTCGTGTCGTCGAGGACACACATGATGAACACATGATGAACACGTAAACACAAAAGACGTGGAGCTTCGACCTGCTGATGTCCAGCTCTGACGTCGTTCAGGTCCAGATGTGAGTCCAGGTTCTGTGAGCTTTGGGCTGAAGGTCTGCGTCTGGTCCGGCTTTAATAAATGAAGCCGTGTTTCAGTCGACACTCCTTCTGCAAACAAACAGCAGAGCGTGGCGCTGAAGAGGCGTCTGTTCCTGGACCGCTGGAGGATGAACGGAGCATTGATGGCCCAGTTTTCCTTCTGAAACATGAGCAGAACACTGTGGACCTGATCCTGCACAGTTCTGACTTCAGCAGGAATCAATGGAGGTTATGTAGTCCAGAGCTCGTGATGGAAACGCTTCCTGACAGTCTGCACAGACAGCCTTCAGAACCGGAGCCGTAACGAGCAAACATCAGGAACCAGAACCCTCTGAAGTCCTGCTGCAGACGTTAAATACGGGATCAGACCTCCAGCTGTAATCAGTCTGTCATCGGTTCTGCCCGTTAGCGGATCAGCACCACGCTCTGCTGCTGGTCGCTCCTCCTCTGACGTCGTTTATTCGCTGGTTTAGAAAGACGCTGGTGAACCAGACAGGAGAGCTCAGCAACGTTCAGCACCTCAGTCCAGAGAAAAGTTCACTGAAGGAACCTTTAATGACTAAAAGTCCGTTTCAGAGGATCGTTTGTGAGAACACGTGGAGACCTCACCGACTCTTCAACCCGCACAGATTTACTGGTTTTGTTTTAAAATCAGAGGTTCTGTCAGACGGAGAAACAGAACCGCAGCTTTAAAGTTACACAGATTCACATTTACCGAAGTCAGACATGAAGCAGGTCGATCCAGCTGCTGCAGATGTTTGTTCTCTGGTTTCCACTTTAGCTTCCTAATGAGTCACATTCATTTCATATAAATGTAAATATAATATATAAATGGTGGATTCAATGATTTTATTTTGGTATTTTGGAGGATTTATTTCTTATTGATCACAAGAAAAAGAAGAACAGGAGCTTTGAAATTCTGAATATTTGTTCAGACCAAAGCAGATCCAGCTTCTGGTTTTTAATAAGTCAGAATTTGTGTCATTTTATTAACATATAATCTTATTTGTCTGCCGGCTGCTTGTTGTGGGATAACTGACGGATATTTAAAATAAAAGTTTCTCAGCAGGAGCTTTTGTGATTCTGCTCGTTCCTCCATGATGAGGACAAATCAAACTTCTAATGTCTCTGCTGATGTTTTTTAGCTTCTGCTTCCTAATAACTCAGAGTTCTGGTCGTTTCACATGAATATGAATGTGTGGAGCCATGTGGTTAGATTAATGGTGGATTTAATTGATTTTATTATGAAGATGTGGTTGTACTTATGGACGGAGACATGATCACGTTGGTTAGTTTTATGATGAAGGAATGTTTGTTTTAATGCTTTGTTTTGGTTTAATACTGAAAAGTTTCTAAAAAAAAGTCTTAATATTCACATAAATGTTCAGAATTCTGCAGAAATGGTCTTTTTATGGAACAGGAAGGAGTCATGTGGGATGTTTTTATCACTACATATAAAAAACACAACAACAGCTTCTTAGAATAATCCTGAGATGATGCTGAAGGCCGGTTTAAGATGGACAAATGAGGATCTTGGTTGATTTTGCATTTGAGCGTTTTTAAAAACTCCATAAAAGGTTCCTCGGGTCCAGACTGGATGAACACGTCTGATAAATCCTGCCTTCTGTCCTGTGTTCTGCTGGAGCGTGAAGGTTAACGTGCTCCGTCCGTTCTGTCCTCAGGTTCGACTACCAGGAGCTGCTGCACAACTCCACCTTCTGCCTGGTGCCTCGAGGCCGACGTCTGGGCTCCTTCCGCTTCCTCGAGTCCCTGCAGGTAAAAAAAACGTCTTTGTGTTTGTTGGTCTCATGAATAATTCAATCACAGCCGGATTGGTCCACGCTGTCGGCTCAGTGAGCTCCGTCAGAGTTTAGCTACGAAACACTTTATTAGTTGAACCGACTCAGCGAGGAAACGATGAGGTAGAAGGTAGCTGCTCAGCAGGTGGTGAGATGTGACCAGAGACTGGGTTCTAGTAGAACCATGGATCCATCCATAGATAGACTCTGACAGGGACTTTATGGAGACACAACACCAGCTGACATTGAAGAATTTGCACTTTCTTTCTATTTTAAATTATTAGTTTTTTTCATTTTGGACAATTTTTGTTGGTTTTGTACAAGTTTTGAGTCACTTTGTGAAATCTTGACTCATTCATGACGAGCTTTGTTTGATTTTTAGCAGATGTTCAGTGGTTCTGGACTGATTTTGTTTAACTTTGGACAAGTTTCAAGTCAAATTAGCAAAATATTGGAACCTTGTCTGGTCCAACTTTCCAGAACCATGGATCCATCCATGTATATACACTGATAGGAACTTTCTGGAGACACAACACCAGCCTGGATTGAACATTTATCACCTTTTTGTCCATTTTAAGGGACCAATTAGTTTTTATTATTGACATTTAGGATCATTTCTAGTAGTTGTGGACCAGTTTTGAGTCACTTTGGACAGATTTCAAGTCAAAACAACAACAAACTGGAGGGCTGGGGTCACATTTCCACAAATTGTAAGGATTTATTGTTGACTTTTTGGACAACTTTTATAAATTTTGGACAAAACTTGGGTTATTTTAAACAGAAGATAACAGAAAACCAGAACCTGGTCTGGTCCATCTTCACCACATCAGGTTCTACTGATGTTAGAGCCTCAACAGGTGGTGAGATGTGACCAGAGACTGGGTTCTAGTAGAACCATGGATCCATCCAGAGACTGGGTTCTAGTAGAACCATGGATCCATCCATAGATAGACTCTGACAGGAACTTTATGGAGACACATTTTGCTTTTTTTTTTAACCCATTTTTAAGGCCCAGTAATCAAACTGTGTCCTGTTGGATCCGTTCAGTCGTCCTGATCTGATGAACTGTTCTCACATCTCATGGCTGTTGGGTTTTTATTCAGATGCTTCCCGAGGTTTTGATGGTGAAAATACAAAATATTCTAACATCTGAAAAGATGAAAATCAGCCAGAAGTATTTGTCAGATCTCAGTTTTTGGGTCCCGCATGAGAAAATGTGCGACGCTGCAGCGACACGTGGAGGAGTCCAGCGACCCAGTTGATTCTGTGAAGTCCTGTTGGAGCTCCACACGAACAAACTGCTGCCAACGTTATCTGCTGCAGGAAGCAGCTCTGGACGCTGCTGCAGCTCCCCGTACAGGAAGCAGCTCTGGAGCTTCATGCGGTCTTCGACACCTTGCCGGGGAGCTTCCCCCCGTCGTGTCTCTGACCGCAGATGGGCCCATAAAGCCTTTATTTGCTGTTTGCTCGGCCTGTTAAACCCAAACGGCTCCATTAACAGACGCTTGTGCAAACAGTGGCCTCATTCATGCAGGGCGGTCGGTGCAGCGGAACAATGCAGCAGCAGCAGCAGCCGCTGCAGGCAGCACCGCTGCAGCTCTGCGCCACCCAAGTGGAGCCGAGGCTGTTTTTAGGCCGAGCGCTCCGGAAGCCGGAGCAGGAGTCACGTCTGCTGAATGGACGGATCCACTCAAACCCACTCGGCTTGGCAGCTCCCTGCTCCCGCCTGCCATCCTCCCTCTTTTCCACTTTTCTAGATTTTCTGTGCTGCCTTTTTTTTTTTTTTTTAAACATATTTCGGTGCCAGCGAAGCCCACAAAAGAACTGGCAATTACCGCCGTGGTCGGAAACTCTGCCAGCGTTCCAGCGCTCGCTCCTCCGAAGCCTCCCAACGCAAACAAACCGACACAGCAGAGGCCTTCTGCAGATCCAGGCCGATCCAGGCAGCTCCAGGC